GTTGGAAAGTTGAATCTGCATGAAACCATAAGATTGGTTTGCAGCCTGAAGCATTAGCTGATGGTATCTAATCAACTGATGAAAGTGATGCCGTAGCAGTATCACTCAAAGCATCGCTGTTCTTTGTATTTTGGGGAATGGTATCCGATATCCATTTCACACTCGTCTGAATCAGATGAGTACTGCAAATTGTGTGTTGGATACCGAAAATCAGGATCGTCTATTTCATCATCCAAATCAATATCTTTGTCATCTGACTCTTCTAAAATTTTTTTGATTTCTTCATTACTAAGTCTGTGGTGTCGAGTCATTTTAGATTGAATTAATTTGTGCCTTTATTAAAAATAATAAGCAACTATTTCAAAAGTAACTGAAAAATATAATATCTAGAGAAATGATCACATAGGACTGTTGGGACAATGTGTTCCCACTATCCAAGACGAGAGGGACACATATGTCACGATAATAAAAACGGAAGTAAAACTTTGCCACTTACCAGTTTATTAGAGGTAATCCGCTTCGTGAGTAACTTATCTGGCCTTAGATTTATTGATAAATCAAAATTTAATCGAAAACAGGCGGTATTTTCCAAAGCTAAGCTATTTACGTTCGTAGAGTATGGAATGAGCTGCTACAACACTTCAAAAACGCGGGACTTGCATTATGTATGGTAGTGCCATCTATGTTCTGTGAATGAAAATACCTTAAAAAATATTGGCAGTACTGGTGGGAAAGTCTCCCATTAGACAGAGAAGCATTTCCATCCCAAAAGCATTTTTTGAAATTTGCTTGGGACGTATGTGTTCCGTTAGGCGTGAAAGGGTTAAGAAGTATGGCATTAGTAATGCACTAGATGGTACAGAGGACAGTTTGTTGAATGATAACTCAGATGCTGATTTAGAAGAAGTTTCAAGTGACTCTTCATTTAGCTCTGCAGACGAGTGCCTGGATTTTGACAAAACAGATTAAAAACTGTTCTTTCCCATATAGATTGGGTACTTGCAGAAAGTATTACTTTGTATTAGTATTACTTTATATTTAAAATACTGTTAATTCATTATGATGATCAGTAATAAACTTTTACCCTTCAAAAATGTGTATGAAAAAGATGGTGTGCCTTATAGGCTGGTGCATCTTATATGCTAGCAAATATGGTAATTGCATTAATAATTTTAGAGGAAACAGCTCCTCCATGCTATAATACTCAACCTTAATCTCAGAATGAGTCACACAAGTAAAAAAATGCACCTAAAAGAATCAGTATGGCAAAGAAGCATTACACGTGAAGTCTGTAATATTAATGTAAATCCTAGGCTGTAAAATGTTCTCAATGTAATTATAATGTAAATCTTGGGTGATTTAAAAAGAAATGGATTAGAGTAGATATCCAGTATACTGTATGCCATACATAATCTTAATTTTCCTTTGAAAACTTAATATAGGCAGACCTCAAATAAGAGACAATAAAAAGTTCCAGTATCTTAGCTATGTAATGACGATATTCAATGTACTGGGAATACATACTGCAGAAAAGCAGGCATGGAATCTAATGGCACTCACATACCACTAGATCACGGTGTTGTAGACACGAACAGAATTCATCTGGGAAAAAAAATGTCAAGCCATTTACTTCTTTATTCACAACATTTTAATCTCTACTGAATCCATACATGCCTATGGTGAAAAAAATTCTACTGTGTCACAGATAATACTAAACCATACGCTGTGTATCATATCCTAATTCTTGAGCAAGCATTTGTGATATGGTTGTATAGTCCATAAAGCCATGCACAAAAATGCTTACCCTCTCATCTAGTAGCATGAAGAAGCTGCTGGCATTTTCATGTTAGTGAGTTAGTCTTTATTTGCAACAAAATGACCCATTATGTCTAATAAATGTTCTAATATGTTTTTAGAGATAATCTGTAATCTTTGTATGCCAAAATTCTTTTCTGATCAAACTCTGGAACCTGATGAATGTGGCTCCTATATATCTTAAGAAGACATAAATTACATCATTCATGCACAAGAACATTGAATAAAAATAATTCAAATGCTCATGCAAAAGAATACCAAGCAAACACAGCTCCGGATCCAGTTCAACCCTTATGTTACTTCTAAACAGTATTACTTTTTCATATAATTTGTATATGTATAGCACTGCTAATCATTTGCATGCTTTCTAATATGCAAATTTTGGGTCCAACAAATCTTTAAGCAATCACGAATATCGTCTTCATCTTCAACGTGATTCTAAACACATCCAAAAACTAGTTTCAGTAGACTTTTTTTTTTATTCTTGACAAAGCAAGATTCATAAGCAGAAGAAAATAATTTATGAAATTATGGCTCATATATTAACAATCATTAGCACATTGCTATGTAGAAAAACAGCAGGGAAAAGGAATGAATAAGAGTGTTCAAATTATGGTTTGTTATGATATTTCATTAGTAGAAAGTGTTCCATAAACATTAACCTTAATGATTTAAAAATTAAGCAAAAGAAATGCTACTAAACCAGGGGTTCTCAGCCTTTTTTGCTCCATACACCCCTTTCACCACTGTTAGAAGATCAGCGCTGCCTCCTTTCCCAAACTTGAAAAATAAATATAAATATTTACCTAGATTTAGATTTTTTTTAAAGTGTTTAGTAAATTAAACAACAGAAAGGGTAGAAATTGTTGATAACTACCCAAACTTGAATAAAAGTTTTTTATTTTTTTTTTTATTTTTTATTTATAAATTAAAACTAAATGCTTAACAGTTAAGAAAAGCTACATTTCCCTCTGAAAATGTGAAATTGCCCTCGATTGAAAAATCCTGTACTAGACAGAGAACATTTTGTTGTTATATACGCTTGCGTATCAACAATATTATTAAACAGAATGGTGTATGATCTTAAGACTTAGATCTTAAGATCTTAGTTCAAAAACAAGTTTTTCTAATACTTGCGCAATAGCTGCAAAGTAAGGTAATAATAATCTATTTACTAAAGAAATATTGATTATATTATCTCCTAATATAAATTTAGTAGAAGTATAAAAAATGAATGAACCCATATGCAGGAAGTTTAATTCCGAAAAATTGTGTTTTAAAGTAATTTGAATGTAAATTATTAAAAATGTTTTACGGGGACTTGATTTAAGTCATGAATAACAAAATTTCAAACTTTGAAAAAGAAATTAAATTAAAAGCAAGTAATTTTCGCTATTGATCGGAAATTAGTTGACTTTTCAAGGGGAACAAACCAACTCCCGTTCAATCAACAATAATTAATAAATACGAAGGTATTTCGTCTTTTACTCAAGTAAGAATGGTTATGCCAAATTGGCAAATTAAGTTAGGCCAAATAGTTCCGTGAAGTGATGGGATTTAGAACCAAAGTAGAGTACTAAAGAACTCATTCTGAATTAAGCATTTTCGCTAATACAAATTTTGAGTGAAAAGCAATTTATGTAATAAAATTTATAAAATACATAAGTAAATGTCCCCCGACATCTTCGCTTTTATGCATGTTAATTCAAAACTATTTGTATAAAAATTAAACAGTGTTAATCTTAATTGGAATTATGAAATAGAACTCAAAGTAATTGAAATAAACATTAAAAAATTAAGAAACATAATGCTATCTTTGAAAAAACAAATCAAATAATAAAATTTGAATAATTAATATATATATATATAATAATAAAAAATTTGTGAAATGTACATGAAGATATAAAAGGCCAGAAAATGCATTAATTAACTTATGTTCTTTCTAGTGGGATGTCGGTAAAGTGTTTTCTTCGGTGTCTTACTCAGAAGGGGTGTGTGCCGTTATTGGCAGCGGGGATACTTTGAATTATTTCAGGCATCGAAACTTGTGAGAAGTAATTTATGGGACATGGGAGGGACATTTGTTGCGGAGTTCTTATGTGAGTGAAAATGTGCAAAATCAATGGCAAATACTATTCATTCGCAAGAGTGAATCACAATACAGTAGTGAAAGTAAGACAAAAAAAAAAAAAAAAAAAAAAAAAAAAAGAAGAGAAAAATTACTTTAAATTCAGTTAAAAAAAGAAACCACAAAGTGAAAACAACTGACATACTCACTTATATATCAAAAAATATATTTTCACTTTCTTGTTTTTGTTTTCAACAGCGCTTTTTTTCCATTGAATCGCTGTTCTTTATGATCATTAAAAGAATATTTAATGGAATATCAAATTCAGTAATACTTTGCTATATTCTCCACCATACCTCCATTCAAAAATGTTGATTTCTCTTCCCATTTTCCATTCCCTTCTTTTAAGTCAAAAGAATAACTGTCATTTGCTTCCTCTTTCAATGAAACAATAACAGAATTGACAAATGCACAGACCACACCAAAATGACTAATGTGCTAATTTTCTTTATGTGCTTGGTCTCTTAAGGATTTTTAGAAATTTGTAACCACCTATTTGTGTTTCATCCTCCATACAACATACTGTTGCTTAAGAGAATTTTCAATTAAAATTTGCACTGTTGAAAAATATGATCATGATGCTCAGCTCAGAATTCCATTAGTAACACTTCCATCTCTAATTCAAGGTAAAATAGTTTTGGGAGAAAATTATTTCAGATAAACATAGGAAATATATTAAATTTAAACTTAAAATGCAGATAAATAAATAAATTTTTGATTCTGTTAAAAATAATTAGCTACCAATAAAGTACTTTACATATATATATATAACTTTTTTTTTCTTTTCCTTTATTTTGATTATGGCAAAGGACTTGAGAGCTGTCTGTGCTTAAGAGAAGAGATGCCTTTGGAGCCTACATTTCTAAATGTTACACAGGGAAAAAACCATTAAAACAGCCTTTTGCCGGGATTTGATCCTGGATTGCACTACCAGTGTTCAGCAACTTTATTGCTTGGCACCGTTGAGCATTTATATAGTATGATAGATAGTGTTCATAGCATAATAATTCAAATAGTAATATTAAAATTCCCACTATTTTCTGGAAAAAAAACCTACCTTCTCAATTGAAGGTATAAATTGCTTTGGAATATTTGTACCAGTTGTGGCATCAGTAAACACTACTTCAGTATTCTTAGAAGGTGGCAAAGGCTGAAAAACGAAGTTACACTCATAAAAAAACATATATTACCTAAAATTGAATACAGTACATAATTAAATTATAATGCCTGAACTTAAACAAAATAATTAATAATAATATGAATACAAATCTTACCCTCATTTTCCCAATAACACCACCATATTGACCAGCACCACCACTTTGCTTTCTATGTAAATAATCAAATTCACATGGCGCAATTAAAGATTCCCGAAAAGCTACTTTTGGCTTGCCTAGTATAACAGGTGTGTTATATTCTCGCTCCATCCTCTAAAAAAGTGTTTAATTTTATCAACAGATCAGAAAAATCTCAAAATATAGCATATATAGAAATATTAAATTTACACAATTGAATAAGCACCTGAAGAACAACAGAAAAATTAACTTTTAAAAATAAATTACAAAAAATAGAATAAATTAATTAAAATTAAAAAAAAATATCTCTTTCAAAGAAAGCTAAGGAGTTCTTTTCGTCAATTAACTAAGATTGAAAAACTAATCATACATATTTATTTTGGAATGTAAAGAAAAAAATACGCAGTTTATCATCTATATTTTGCTTTAACTTCAATATTAGAAAAAGTGACAAAGGTTCGATTGAAGTATTTTTGTTATCTTTTAAGAAATCTAATTACAATATACAAACTTTTTCCAGAGAAAAGAATTTGTGCTTCATTGAAAGCAAGACTGGTTCTAATGCGTTCTGACTGGTGACTAACGTGTAGATTCAATGGAATGATTTTAATTAAAAGAGAATAGTCAACGAAAAATATAATTTTAATTAAGAGAAAATAGTTGACTTTATATTCAATGGAATGAAAAACTTTAATTAAAAGACAATGGTTTATTGTGTTGATTAAATCTAGAAACATACAACTATTTTTCATTTAATAAATCTTTTTTATCCAGCCAGATTATAAATTAACCAAATTTCAGCTTCAATACACTTACAGAAAATAAATGGCAGTAGTATACAACACATTACTTCCTCGTCCCCTCCGAAAAAAACTAAATACTTACATTCCAAAATCTTAAAAAATACCAAGAAGGCCAAAAACGTAACAGTTTAGATTTATTAATACTGTCAAAAGTTGTTAATCCGGACTCGTCGGGACTTCGGCGAATCCAGATTATTGATTTTTCCGGATTATAAATCATCAGTTTTAATCTCGTAAGATGGCATGCAGAAATTCTAAAAATTAAAAATATGAAACCATAATTTATGAAATAAAGAACAATTATTATATAAAGGGTATCAAAATTACATGAAAAAAAAAAAAAAAAAAAAAAAAAAAAAAAGCTTAATATTTATTTGTTTACTTTATTAAACATTTCTTTCAATGTAAGTTGTTTAAGTTGCTTCGTTTTATGTGATAATACTTTCTTTTTAATTCTATAAACAGACATAATTTCTTGTTCAGTTACAAAGTCCCGTAATTGCTGTGCCGAGAATACCGACTAACTTGTCAATCGAAATTTTTTCGTTTTCACTAACCTCTCTGTCACCTTCTTCATGTCTTTATCCATTTTTTGCAGCAATTCCACTTTTTGTTTGATGGACATCGAAACATACTTTCATTTTGTAGATCCTTTGGGAGCTCCAGCATCGGAAATTCTATTTGACATAATCGAAAGTTCAAGTTTACTTTTACAAAATTGCTCTTACAGTCTGCAAAAAATAATAAGCCGCATCCAATTCGAAGATTAAGGAACAACGCAATCATCAACATTAACTGAAATAGATAATTAGATAATTTTAGCTTATACCGTCCGTTATACATTAAACGCGCACACGAAAACGTATTCTGCACTTGCAAACACACATGTGCGCAGTTGTAAAGGTCTTATGTGTCAACGCGGAGCATGCGCAGAAAGTTTTTAGTTTTGAGGTCCGAATTATACATCATTCCGGATTATGGGTGTCCGAATTTGATGCTAAAGCAAAGTTTAATGTTTAAAGAAATTAAACATTTAGCAGTAGTAGCAATGAAAGCTCCCTGAGATATGTTGTGCAGACATTGAAGACAATAAAAGATTTTGAACTTAACCAATTTATTAACAATATAATAAAGAATAAAAACACAAAAATAAATGTCAACAATATTAGAGTATTAGGAAAAATATAATATAATCATCATTCATCAAATATTTTTACCTGTACTCCAAAACACTGGCATTCTATACAAACAAAAAAAAAATGTCCTAAACAGTGACTATGCGGCCTAAAAATAAAGCTGGCTACCCATTCAATAAGTCCATAATCAATGGTCAAGAAAAACACCTGAAAAATTTAAATGTGAAAACACTTAAAACCGGCCTAACTCCGTTTGCACAAGGAGTCGTCGCCGCTCACGTATTTTTAATTCCGCCTTCATTGAAGAAACATGGATGCCGCCCACGGCAGTAACTCACAGGATAGCCTCTGGAACCGAAGAACTTTAATCTGGAACCATCATCTCGCAAACCGGAATCAAGACATTTTTTCACCGGACTGCATGCATCCTTTTGAAGGGGCTGGAAACTGCTCACTCACTTGCCGGGAAACCAGGAACTAGAAGGGTTGAGCCAATGCCAATGATTTAAAAATTACGGAGTGCCTATGGTTCAAAACCATTTACCTCCACATCAGAGTTACTAAAAGCGAGCAGAAATTGGAAAAATTTGGCATAAGTGATTTACTTGATGCTCAATAGAGGGAGCCACAGGCTCGAGAAAGTTTAGGGATAGAGATGAGAATATAAAAACTTAAGTATCATAATTTTTTTATAAGTTTTTAGGTTTTATAATTTTTTTGTATTTTATATTTTATACTTTTTTTGGTTTTTTATAATTTTTTATACACAGTACAAACACTAAAGCAAAAAGCGGATAGGAAAGAGTTTACGATTAATAGGCTCATTGGCATGTGGCTTGTGTTGGAGAGTGCAAATAATTAATGGAATCGCGATGAAAATATTCTTAGGCAGATTTAAAATCTGCGGGAAGGGTTGAGCTTGGATCTTGGATCATATCTTTACTGCTGGCTTTAGCTACTAGGAGCTCTTACCAGTATATTATCATTTTACCATAGGCCATAAAGTTAAAAATTTAAGAGGTGTATTTAAAATACACCGCGCCCGAAGGCGAGATCAATAAATGAGAGAACTCATAAAATAAGTTTTGCTAAGTTGCATATCATGGCATAGCATGGGTGATTATATACGTAAATGGTGGCGAGAAGCGAAATGAAATTCTAAGCTTCTGCGGTGAGTCAAGAAGAGCAGGAAACACGTGATCAGCGTCCGGCATTTAGATGGGTCGAGGAGTCAGAGTTCGAAAAATGAAGTTTTTTGTAGTTTTTGGCAATAAATAAAGTTCGAACATAGTAAAAGCAACATCTATTTTGTGAATTTAAGAGTCTTATGTCTTTTGAAACACTTGAAAATCTTCTAAACTTGCGATATAATCATTAAATGAATAGGAAACTGTAAAAGGTGAAAATGAGGTCATGTAGCTCACTAGGGCTAATGAGTGAGAGTAAGCACTTGGTGTTACCACGAACTTTGATTTTAAAACACACGATACGAAATATTAAAAATAAAAAGTAAAAACATCTTGGTTAAATAAGTAGTAAAACGAAGAATTCATCGATGAAAAATAAAGTCCTAATTTTGCAAAGTTCATCTTTCTTGAATAGTAACTGCAAAGGAATAGTAATTTTTTTTTTTTTTTTTTTTTTTTTTACACATTATATACACTACCACCACTTAGAATTGTGGTGGATCGTTCGAGGTCTTTTCACTACGTTCTCAATAGTAGGGTCATAGTCTGTAAGCGATTTAATAGCTTCATAGGGAGAATTTCTCATATCTTCAAAGAAGTTGTGTGCAGAAATTAGGATTTGGTCGTGAATTGGGATTGATATTCAGGTCTTTGTGAATTTGAGAATTTCGCACGAACCAGGGTGCGTTCACTATGCTACGTAAGATTTTGTTTTGAAGTACATTTAATTTTTGTCTGTCTATTTTTCGGGCAGTAGCCCAGGCTGGAACTGCATAGAGGATTATTGGTCGAATAAGTGAGATGTAGATATTTTTCTTGGTACGGAGGTTTAACTTAGAGTTTCTTCCAATTAATGAGTAGAGAGCAATGAAAGCAGCGTTAGCCTTATTTGTAACATATTGAATATGATCTTTGAAATTTAGGGTTTTGTCAATATAGACACCTAAATATTTATAGGAGTTGGCAACAGGAATATCTTGGTTATTGAGTCGGATATTTATATTCACTGGGATATTTTTTCTGTATCTGCGAAAGAGAACTACGCAGCATTTATCAGTATTTAGTTTGATTTTCCAGTCTTGACAAAATTTGTTAATAATGTTGACTTGGAGCTGAAGTTTCTCTAAAGCATTATTTGGACTTCGTGAACTGGTGAGGATGACTGTGTCGTCGGCATATTTGAGTATATTAGAATGAAAAGGTAGAGGCATATCATTTATGAATATTGTAAAAAGCTTCGGTCCTAAAACACTGCCTTGAGCTACTCCACTGTAAATCACTTTTTTTGAAGAGATTGCTTCACCACAGCGCACTTGAAAAGTACGATGTTTAAAATAAGAATGCATAAGCTTAATAAAGCTGTTTGGTAAAAGGAAGTTAGATAGCTTATGAAGTAAGCCAGCATGCCACACTCGATCGAAAGCTTTTTCGAAATCGAGGAAGCATGCCGCTACTCCGTTCTTTTTTGTAAATTCTTGGGCAATAAATTCAACTAAATTTAATATTTGATGTGTGGTATTGTGGCCTTTGCGGAATCCAAATTGATGCTTGTCTATTAGATTAAGGCGTTCTAGATTATTGGTGAGACGAGCACTAAGTACTTGTTGGAAAACTTTTTCAAGCGCTGGTAGAAGACTGATGGGTCTGTAATTATTTTGCTAGCTTTGGATCTTTTCCTGGTTTCGGGATCGGTAACAATGATCGAATGTTTCCACTGCGATGGAAAGTAGCTGAGTCTAATACAAGCATTAAAAATATTTGTAATTAAGACTATGCATCTTCTAGGTAAAGCTTGCAACGCTTCATTAGAAATCATGTCATATCCTTTAGCTTTGCGCTTCTTTAATTTTTTAATAATTTGCTGAACTTCGTTTGGAGATGCAGGCGTAAAAAATTAATGCTGGGACTGTTGAGGATGCTATTGACAGAGTAATTAATATCTTTTTCGTGATCAGAATTATTTATTTTCATGTTGTTTAAAAATGTTTTCTAATTCTTTTGCATGAATT